GTGTTTCCAGATCTAGATCTGTTGGACTATCCAGATCTAGATTTAGATAGATCTATCATTCGATATACTAATGCCAGGGTTTTTCATCTGCTGCTTCTCTTCTTCCTCGCCTTCCGGCAGTAATCCAAGATCTCTTTTCAACAGACAATTGCACTTTTGTCTTTGCTTTGAACCTTGCCACAATATTCATTTTTGATTTATTTTTTTTCCAAAGTTGGAAGAACTCTATTCAATGTGTCTGCTCCAGATCTAGCAGATCTCACGAACAAGAAGAAAGTCCTTCAAGAAAGATCATATGGGTTTTCTTCAATATTGAAGAAAACATTAGGAACCCAAGTGAGAAGTGAGATGAAAAGCGGTGATCTCTCGGACATTGACATAGCAGCAGTTTCAATATTGAAGCCAACCCATATGATCTTGGATTGGCTTCAATACTGCTGCCATGTCAACGACGTCCGAGAGCTCACCGTTTTTCATCTCACTTATGTTCTTAATGTTTTCTTCAATATCATATTGAAGCCAACCCATATGATCTTCAAGTTCTTGAAGGACTTTCTTCTTGTTCGTGAGGTCGGCTGATCTGGAGCAGACACATTGCATAGAGTTCTTCCACCTTTGCAAAAAAAAAAAAATCAAAAATGAATATTGTGGCAAGGTTCAAAGCAAAGACAAAAGTGCAACAAATTACTGCTTTGTCGTTGAAAAGAGATCTTGGATTACTGCCGGAAGGCGAGGAAGAAGAGAAGCAGCAGATGAATGAGGAACAGCCCAAGATCAATCGCCTTCGCCAGGGCCACGTCCGCTATGGACGAGCAGCGCTTCAGCTTCTCGCTCCTGGTGGGTTCCACCCCGAACCTCCCGTTCATCGACAGCCCAGGCCAAGCTCCACGTCCTCGTCTTCTTCTTCTTCCTCCGCCGGAAGCTTCTTGTTCTCGGTAGGGCACTCGCTGCGTATTTTCGTGAATCTGCGGAGCATATCGATTATTTCTCTGTTTTCCTCAGCTCCCTCCATTTAATAGTTGTTCGAGCTCGTGAAAGGGTTGCAATTTTTGGTGGGGATAAACCCAAATTTCAGTTGGGGATCACCTTGTTTGCCGGGGAAAATGGATAAAGATTGGATTTTGTTTCTCAATTCAAGAAAGGGAAAAATTGAGAGAGGGAGAGAGAGAGAGAGCGAGAGAGAGAAGGGAGGAACAGAAAATACTGGGTTTTCGAGGGTCCAATCGGAGAACAAAAGGGGCATCGGAAAAATGATGGAAGCCATTAGAGATAGCGGGCTTGAAGTTCTGTATGATTGTAGGGCGGAAGAAAATGTAAAGAAATAAAACAAAAATGGCGGAGAGTGAATAAAAGGAGAGAGGAAAGATATATTTTTGTTTTTAATCCATTGAATATACCGATGTTGTCTAATTGCAAAGCCTAAGTTGGATTTAAGGTGTGATTGATGGAAGATATTTCTTTTTTTTTTTTTTCTAAATTACTTCAATACAAATTAGAAATGATAAAATTATAAAAACTAATAAAAAAAGGAGTGATAATTTATAAAAGAATATAAATTAAAATATAACTGTTATTTGAATTAATAATAAAAATAATAATTAAAATATATATAGAAAAATAATTTATACTTATATATGTGATTATAGTTATTAATTGTGTGAGTGGGGTTGTAGGTAAAAAAAATTATAATAAGGAAATAAATAATATATTTTGTGAAATTTTTTTGTTTCATTTCTTATTTCAATAAGATAATATTACATTTAAAATACATGATAAATCACATTTATAAAAAATAAAATAATAAATTACGAGTGTCATAAAATAATAAAAAGTATTTAATAATTACACTTAAAATATATGAGAAGTAACCAAAACTTTGATTGATAGTATATAATAGTAATTAATTTTCTTTAACTGTATTAATGGAATTATAGATAAAACATAAAATAAACCCATAGCATTTTTTATAAAATAAAAATGTTTCGTTTCTAATCTTAACAATGTGAATGTTAATTGACCAAATAAAAATATAACAAAATAAATCCAACCGCCACGTAAATCTCTAGTAGCAATAATTGATCAGACAAATAGTACAATATCATAAGAAAACATTCAACGTGGGATCATGAATATATACAAGTCGTGTATAAACAATTATAATCTATATATGTCGATTGGTGTACTAAAATGGTCCATACTTATATTAAAAGATAAATAAAAATTGAACAAAAGAAAATAAAAGAAGAGAGGTGAGCGTGCAAGTGGGTGGATTTGACAACATTCATTGACTCATTGTCCCCACCTATTCTTTTTCCCCTAAAAAAAAACATGTTCTCGAGATTGGTTTTTGACTCCAAAATAAAAATAAATTTTATGCAAGTTGTCCAACAAGTGACCTTAATGTAATTCCCATATAGCCAACTAAATCAGTATTTACAATGTGTTCGGTCTACTTTTGTTTATGCATCATCTAACTAAATTTAATTCTTGGATAACATGGATAAAATTATATAAAATTAATAAAATTTATTCTAATGCAAAGAGACTAAATCTCTACTTGGCTCTAAAATAGAGTTAAGGGTAGACTGAGTCTCTTTTTCTAACTGTCACATCAGCAAGACCCAGTTTATTTTTGTTTATATTGAAAAATATATTTTTTAAACTAGTTTTATTAATTAGGTGGCATACAATTTTTTTTTGTGATTAAACCCAAAGCATTGTGGATGCTCTTATATTGCGTGCGTGCTTGTTTACAAATTAATCCTCTTATAATAAGTTTTTTAGTTAATTATGATTAATTTTAAAATACGTGGTATATTTAATTGTTAGTAAGATTTTGAGTTTATATTAAAATAATATTTAAAATAAAATAATTAAAATTGATTTGATATAAAAGTATGAGCGAAATGATGTGAAGTGATGATTAGTTGAAATTGTGTGAGTAGATGAATAGTGAATTAAAGTTGATGTGATGTGTAATAATAATTTGTTTGTATTACTTAATCATATGAATAATATAAATGATAGTGGGATTGAGTTAAAATTGAGTTAGATTTTGAATATGAATTAATTGTGAATGAAGTTTTAATAAACAATCACCCCCTGAGTGTAAATGAGAATAGTCGAGTCAGTTCGAGCATCACAAACTAATAAATAAGCTCGATTTTGATTTGATCCAACTTATCTATCAATTTAACAAATTGAGTTAACAATTTTAACGAGTCAAAATCGAACTTCAATGTTGAACTATAAAATATTCCAACATTTTTATTTTCGTCTTTTTTTACTTTTAAGCTTTAAAGAGTCGAGCCAAATTTAGGAGAGACTCTGTTTTGGTTAACAGTTGTATGTCTTATTAGTTATGTAACAAATATTTATATATATTTTTAAGTTCAAATGTCACACGTAAAAAGTTTAAACCATTATGAAATTTCATAATTTATGTGTAACTTTTGAAGAAAGTATAATTATCGTTGTGTAATGTCCCTTTCTACATAAAAGAGAGAGATATTTGAGGATTGCGTGAAAGCAAATTTCCAGACGGTTTTTCTCGTGATGTGAACAAAAAAGGCAAGTTGATTGAATATGTTTGTACTTTGTACATTATGATGGTATGCCAACTTTTGATAATTACGGACCAAGTTGTTGCATTTCAAGTAATGATTTGTATGAGAAACATATCAAATTTAAGGTTGTGAATATCTATTTTTTTAAGGAAAAAAAATGTTTTGTCTAGGTATTAAAATAAATAATTGATAAAAGTATATTCTGTGAGATGTTGAATACTTGTTCTTTTTCTTAATTGTAAAATGCATTGAATAAAATACAATATATGGTTACAAGATCTGAAAGTAATGAAATATTAAATTAATTATAACTGATAGTTGGAATTATGTCAGCCTTTAATTTTATAAGCGAACTATTTAAACTTTAATATGCTAACTATTTTCTAACTAAATAGGAAATAAAATCATCCAGCAATTTGGATGATGTCATCCCACCAAGGGAAAATTTACACCTTTTTAATGAATGAGTATTTTATAATAAATTTGGTTTACTTACAAACATAATGCAAGGTGACCATTTAAGTCAATTATTAAGAGTTTAATATATTAGTAATAATAAATATAATATATTGTTTGAAAATTAGAAGGTGTGTATTTGTTTTAATTTCTAAAGACTTTTAAATATTTAGAAACCATAAAATTTTTAAGACTTTTAAAAGTATCAGAGTATTTATTTGAGATTTTATAGTTTTAAAGAGTCATGAACTATTTTTTTTATTTGAGACACAATTTTGTTCCAACTTTTTTAGATTTGTTGAAATTTTAAAAGAAAAAATTATATACGAAATTTCAATCCACTTCTTATCTCCATGTATGATTTTTTTAGATTTCCACTTAACTCTAAAAATAAAAATAAAAAATCTAAAAAAAGTTAAAGTAAGATCATAATTCTAAGAATTCACACGCCTAATATATTTGGTCAATTTTAACTAGATTTTAATTAAACTTAAAATATCTATACTTATATAATAAGAATTAACCTTTTTTAAAATTAGTAGGTCAATTCTTAGTCAACATCCTGTCTGCATTAAATGTTTACTAAAATTAGTAACTTTTATGTCCTTTTCACACTTTTTTTTATGTCCTTTTCACACTAGATTATATAAATGAACGGATATTATCTCACCTTTCATTAATCTCACCTATAATTCATGTGAATTGATTGATTGTCTTTAACTTTTCAAAACGTGTGCTATCTATTGTTTATTACTATTATTATTATAGTATGCACGTAATCAGTTGATTAAATAAATTATATATTATTATTATTATACTCACCACGTGACAGTTAATTAAAATATATCTATACTTATATTAAAAGGTATACCATTTACCAGATTTAATATAAAGAAAAGTCAACAACATTTATTGCATTACTATTTCCGTATTATACAATCTATACTTATATAAAAGGAGATTCTATTTACTACATTTACTATCCAGAAAAGTCAACTGCATTAAATGTCATTACTATTTTGGTATTATAATATTTTATTTATTTAATTGATTTATTTATTTGTTTTATTTTAAAAAGGTAAGTATAATAAAAAGATTTTAATAATAAAAAAATCAAATACCAAATAAAAATGTACACTTTGACTTATTTGATTATATTTGGTATTTGATTATACCAAATATATTCCTATTTAGTATATACATTAAATACTTACTAAAGTATTTATTTGTTTTATTTGTCAAAGTTAAGTATAGATTTGTTTATATTATCAAATCATAAAAAAATATTAAATCCATATTGTAAAAAAAAAAATCATATAATTTTATAACAATTCTACTACACTATTTAACAATATTTCTTTTTTATTATATAATAAAATAATAATTAAATATTATATGGTGAACAACAATAAGTAAAACTGTTACTTTCTCTTATATCAAGGGATAAATTTATATGCTAAAATTAAATTTTTATTAGTATAAATGTTTTAGTGAGATAATATATTAATTATTTTACAAGCTAGCCCTAACATGCTCATATTTAATGTTTTAAAAGATGTAGAAAAAAAACTTATAATAACTCTATTGTTTTTTAGACTTAAACGTTGATTAAAAGAGGTAAAAATTCCTAATTTTTTAGACTTAAACGTTGATTAACACCATAGATTGAGAGTTTATATTTAGTAAAATTCCTAATTGTAATAAAAAAATTAATTTTTGCTATATTTTAGAATATCTTTAAATTCATTATAAAAAAAAAAAACTACAATGAAAAAAGAAAGTCAGCTATATATCGATTTGTTGCACTCCTCAAATCACATTCACAATTTGGAAAGGAAACTCATTGATTAAAATATTATTTTGTCAGTAGTATTAATGTACAAGAGACTTTAAGACTCCACTTGAATATTATACAACTTTTATTGAACATTGTATAATTTTCTTGCGTATTATAAACTTTTATTGAATATTGCATCTTATAATATAATATTCTCTAAATAAATATATCTCGTGCTTTGCACGGGTCACGTACTATATATATTCCGTACATCTTTTTTTATTCATGTATATAATTATAAGCTTGGATAAATAGCCTTAAAAATGTACATCCCGTGCATCGCACGGGCTCTGTACTAGTTTGGTTTCAATAAATTGGGTAAAAGGAGTGGACCCCGTTGTGTTGTCAAGTTGCACTTTGGGTAATGAGATGGGCTATCTTTCCAACACGTGGATGTACGTGTTGGTTGAGTTGTACACGTGTCTCATTTTAGTGGAAGGTTGCAGCTAAGTAGCACGCAACTTGTTGAAGGCGACGTGCTGAGGAGTAGAGCCCATGAGATTTGAAGTACAAGAGATTTATTCGGGTCCCACAAGAATAAAAAGATAAAGATCGAGTCGTGTCGAGTCGTTTATTACAAGTTCAATCGAAGTCTCCATTGGAGCTTGAGTTAGATCGAACACGAGTCAAGCTCAAGCGTCAAACTCAAACTCGAACATGTTTTTATGTTCTAATTAAATTGAAGTGTGGTAAGTCATACATGTACTCCCTCCTATTTATAATAAGTGTCGTTTTAAGAAGTTGCATAGTAATTAAGGATATTTTTTTTGCCAATAATAATCTTTTTTTAATGAAGATAGATAATGATGTTTTGGGAAAAAATGAATAGTAAATATGAAAAGACATAGTGTATTTATTAGCTAAATGAGGGTAATAATGGAAAAATATGTACAAAAGATCCAAAATGACATTTATTTGGTAAATTGTTAATAAAGCCAAAATGACATTTAAAAAGAATAGGAGGTAGTATAATTTATCCAAAATACTTCTCATTCGAGTTAAATTTGAGCAAAATTGAAGTCAAACCTAAGAAAGAATTTTAGTTCTGATAAAATTTTTTATTTAAAATTTTAGTTCAACTCAAGTGAAGTCAAACTAATGAAATTTGGGCCGATTTTGAGCATTTATATAGTTATGTCAAGTCGAGCACTATTGAAAAATCGAGTCAATCTCAATAAGGACAGTCCTTGACTCGCCACGAGTTGTTTGCAGTGTGCCCCATATTTCATTGTTTCCAAAATTTATTTTTGTTATTTGTCCTTTACATTATCACATACATTCTGCGTGAAAATTGTAGAATATGTGGTATGTAATCTCAAGAAAATGGCTTAAGAAATCAGAAGAAAAATGACAAAACAAATAAAGTCGAGGCACGTAAGGTACGCTCTCCTTAAGACGAAATAGCCCCTTATATTACCCACAATTCACGGCTAACGCCTCCAAGATACAACGACTTCGATTTGTGTATAGCATTAACTAAAATACACAAACCTTCGGCGAACAATACTTATGTTTCGGAACTCTCAAGATAAGAAATAACACAAAGAAGACAAGATGAATATGAACTTTGTAAAAAGAATGCAAAGACTCTTGGAATAATTTCATGTTCATGATGATAGAATTGGATTTAACCGTATGCGATAGAAATCGCTTAATCTTAGGAGCATTCATACTGAACAATCGAGAATCATATCGAAGAGCGGAAGCGTACCTGATGGATTCATGTTAATTGATCTCACTGGAATTGAATTGGAATTTTGGATTTGGGATTTGGAGTTCTTCCAAAAGACCATGAACTAGAGTCTTCTTTTCTCTGACGTATGAGAAAACTGAATGAAGAATGCGTAGTGGGGCGACGGTTTCTTTCGTATCCCTAATAAAGAATCTCAAGGGCCCCTTTGTATTTTCACGGCTTTTGGGGATTCCACCCATTAATTATTTTGACCCAAATTATATAATAATTAGGTCCTTGAGTTTAATATTATTATTTGTTACGTCACTAAATAATAATAGTACCGGGCGTCCACATTTAACCAATCCACAATCTAAATTAAGTTCCTTAGCCAATGTACAATAATTTGATCACTTAATTTGGCTAAACAATATAATGACCCAATGTATCAATTACACAAATTTAATCCCAAAATTGATCTAACAATCTCTCACTGGATTAAATATGCGTCCTGATAATACATTATACTTTATGAGCTCAAAAATGGTCATTATTACAGAACTTGAACAATCTGGTCCATTAATCATAACAATATAGGACTAACGCAGTTTTCGCCGTATAAACACAGCTAAACTATAAATAATCACATATATCACCATGACTAAATGACATAGATCAAACTGTGGAACATGTGGCATGAAAATTACATGAATGTGATCGGCACATGTCAATTTTCAACTAATCCAAACTTATGAGATCGTTAAGTACCAAAACATATTGTACAAAGTGTCATGAACCAAAACTTTATTTCTGATCAGAATAAGTACTTTACATATCATCGAACAATATGAAAAAACTGTAACAAATGCTCCCACTAGAGTGAAGCTTCCTGAATATGTAACACACCCATATGAGCAGTATGCTCGTGAAATACCATAGGCGTTGCACCTTTAGTTAGGGGATCTGCTAACATAGATTTTGTCCCTAAGTGCTCAAAGGAAATTTGACCACTTTGCACCCTCTCCTTCATAGCTAGGAACTTAATGTCAATATGCTTTGACTTAGACGCGGAGTACAGAACGGCTGATTTATTGTCACAAAAGATCTTGATAGGTCTTTCAACCTCCGGAATGATTCGCAGCCTTGTGACAAAGTTTCTTAACCAGATTCCCTGGTGTGATGCCTCAAAACACGCCACAAACTCAAATTCCATAGTGGAAGTGGTAACAAGTGTTTGTTTAGCACTATGCCAGGAAATGGCACCACCAGCCAACATAAACAAGTATCCAGACGTAGATTTCCTACTGTCTTGGCACCCCGCAAAATCGGAGTCAGAATATCCAACGATCTCCAAATGGTCTGACCTATATGTGAGCACATAATCCTTAGTTCTCTTATGGTATCTCATCACCCTTTTGGCTGCTTTCCAGTGATCCAATCCAGGATTACTAAGGTATCTACCTAACACACCAACTATATACGCAATAATTTGGCTAAACAATATAATGACCCAATGTATCAATTACACAAATTTAATCCCAAAATTGATCTAACACATGACTATTTCACTTCATCAGTATATATATATGTTATAACACATCTCCAGAGGGTTCAATACATCAAAAGATAACTTTTGGGACATGCCCGTCCGATTAAAACCGATTAGAAACCATTCTTGTACAAACAAGTGCGTCAGCGTCGCGAGGTCGTACGCGTTCGTTCGGACTCGGAATTTAGTTCTGTTTCTTCCTACTTGTCCCCAATGAGTCCTTCTACAATTTTAGCATACATAATGCTTGATTATGGCTCGTTTAATTTTTCCAAATATTTGTCTAAACATAGTGTTTGTGAACCCTACAACCTTTGAGTTACTTAAACTCAATTATTCATCTATAACATAAATATAATCCAATTTAAACATATCACATAATCTATGGATCTCCAAATCGGTGAAGGAAAAATAAAAAGATAAAAACCGTTACTAATTCAACTTCTCAATAATGACCACTACTTTA